TAGCTAGAAGAGATAAGAATGCCTTCTTAAATGAACAGTGCAAAGAAATAGAAGAAAACAATAGAATAGGGAGGACCAGAGATCTCTTCAAGAAAATTGGAGATATGAAGGGAACATTTCATGCAAAGATGGGCATGATAAAGGACCAAAATGGCAGGGACCTAACAGAGGCAGAAGAGGTTAAGAAGAGGTGGCAAAATTACACAGAAGAACTATACAAGAAAGAGCTTAACGTCCCTGATAACCACGATGGGGTGGTCACTGACCTCGAGCCAGACATCCTGGAATGTGAAGTCAAATGGGCCATAGGAAGTCTGAGCAACAACAAAGCTAGTGGAGGTGACAGTATTCCAGCTGAGTTATTCAAAATCCTAAAAGACGATGCAGTTAAAGTGCTACACTCAATATGCCAGCAAATTTGGAAAACTCAACAGTGGCCACAGGATTGGAAAAGGTTAGTCTACATTCCAATCCCAAAGAAGGGCAATGCCAAAGAATGTTCAAACTACCACACCTTGCACTCATTTCACATGCTAGAAAAGTTATGCTCAAAATCCTACAAGCTAGGCTCCACAGTACGTGGACCGAGAACTACCAGAAGTACAGGCAGGATTTCGAAGAGGGAGAGGAACTAGAGATCAAATTGCCAACATACGCTGGATCATGGAGAAAGCTAGGGAGTTCCAGAAAAACATCTACTTCTGCTTCATTGACTATGCTAAAGCCTTTAATTGTGTGGATCACAACAAATTGTGGCAAGTTCTTAAAGAGATGGGAGTACCAAACCATCTTATTTATCTCTTAAGAAAGGTCAAGGTCAAGAAGCAACAATGAGAACTGGACACGGAACCTCTAATTGGTTCAAAATTGAGAAAGGAGTTCGGCAAGGCTGTATACTGTTGCCCTGCCTATTTAACTTATATGCAGAGCACATCAAGAGAAAGGCGGGGCTGGATGAATCACCAGTTGGAATTAAGATTGCTGTGAGAAATATCAACAACCTCAGATATCAGATGATACCACGCTCATGACAGAAAGTGAAGAGGAACTAAAGAGCCTCTTGATGCGGGTGAAGGAGGAGAGCACAACAGTTGGCTTGAAACTCAATGTTAAGAAAACTAAGATCATGGTATCCGGTCCTCTCACTTCCTGGCAAATAGATGGGGAAGAAATGGAGGTAGTGACAGATTTTATTTTCCTGGGCTCCAAGATCACTGCAGACGGGGACTGCAGCCAAGAAATTAGCAGACGCTTGCTCCTGGGGAGGAAAGCTATGGCAAATCTAGACAGCATACTAAAAAGCAGCGACATCACCCTGCCAACAAAAGTGAGTATAGTCAAGGCTATGGTTTTCCCAGTTGCAATGTATGGCTGTGAAAGTTGGACCATAAGGAAGGCTGAGCGCAAAAGGATCGAGGCCTTTGAACTGTGGTGCTGGTGGAGACTCCTGCAAGTCCCTTGGACCGCAAGGCGATCAAACCGGTCAGTCCTAGAGGAGATCAACCCTGACTGCTCTTTAGAAGGCCAGATACTGAAGATGAAACTCAAATACTTTGGCCACCTAATGAGAAGGAAGGACTCCCTGGAGAAGAGCCTAATGCTGGGAACAATAGATGGTAAAAGAAGAAGGGGATGGTAGAGAATGCGGTGGTTAGATGGAGTCACTGAAGCAGTTGGTGTGAGCTTGGGTGGACTCTGGGAGATGGTGGAGGACAGGAAGGCCTGGAGGAGTGTTGCCCATGGGGTCGCAATGGGTCGGACACAACTTCGCGACTAACAACAACAGAAATATTACTTCCAAATCACGAGAAGTAGTAGATCCTCTATACTCCTCACTAGTCAGACCTCACCTTTAAGAAAGATGCAAGGTAAATTAGAAAGGGTCCAGTGGAGGGCAACAAAAAGGATCCAGGGTTTGGAATCGCTGCTCTGAGAGGAGGGACTCAGAGAACTCGGTATGTTCAGTCTTGCGGGGAGGGGGCAACCCTTTCCCACCCTACTATTCCACGATTCTCTGATTCTCCAGCAGCCTGCTGTCATCTTCCCTGGCTCCCCAGTCATTTTGAGGCCCAGTTCAAGGTTCTAGTATTAGCTTCTAGTATAACTCCTAAAGCACTGTACAGTTCCATCAAATAAGAAGGTGGAAACAATATCCAGAAGAACCATCCAAAAGAGAAGAAAGGGTGGCAGACTTCTTCGAAATGGAATCCTCTGAGGAAGGGCCTGCAATATTAGAAAGTGAAGTGAAAGATGCTCTGAAAGGGCTTGCAAAGCAGGAAACGCCTGAGGTAGGCAGGACACCAAAAGAACTCTTCTGAGCTGCAGAAAATGAACCAGCCCAGTTCTTAAAAATGGAAAACAGAACAATGGCCCACAGACTGAAAATGTTCAACATATATTCCAATCTCTAAGGAAGGAAATGCAAAATAGCGCAGCAACTATAGCATCGTTAATCTCCCATGCAAGCAAAGTGGGGCTCAAAGGGCTGCAGCAAAGAATGCTGCCCTATACATAGACAGAAATGCCCAGTTCCAAAAACGGGGAGGCACTAGAGATCGTATTGCAAATGTATGTTGGCCACTGAAACACACAAAATGATTTCAGATCAATCTCTGCGTCATAGACTACAGCAAAGCTTTGTCTGTATGGATCAAGGGAAGCTATGAATGGTCCTGAAAGAAGCTCAGCACTTGATTGCTCTGTCGTAGCCTGTATCACAGATGAAAAGCTACAGTTAGGACAGAATACAGGGAAACAGAATGATTTCCCATAGGTAAAGGTGTCAGACAACAATGTATTTTATCTCCTTATCTGTTCAGTCTGTATTCTGAACACATAAGGAACACTGGATTAGATTCAAAGGAAGGAGTAAAAACTGGCAGAAGAAACATCACTAATCGAAGATATGCAGATAGTACCATACTACCGGCAGAAAGTAGCAATAACTGCTAATAAAAGTGAAATAAGAAAGTACACAAGTAGCACTGCAGCTAAATATTAACACTAACACCATGTCTGCAGAAGAATTATAGAACTTTTGTGTTAATAATGAAGAAATCAAAATGTTGAAGGATTTCATATACCTCAGATTAGTCACCAATTCAAAGGGGAACTGAAGCCAAAAAATTGGAAGAAAACTGAGACTTGGAAGGGCAACAGTGAAGGAACTATAAAAGATCAAGTGTAAGGACATTTTACTGGGCACCAAGGTCAAGATCATGCAAACTATTGTATTCTCAACCACAGTCTACGGGTGTGAAAGCTGGACAGTGAAGAAAGCTGACGGCACATTCAAAACATTGTGCTGGAGGAGAGCTTTGAGAATACACTGGACAGACTAGGTCAAATCAAGCCAGAGCGTTCCTTAGAAGCAAAAATTACAAAATGGAGGCTGTTGTATTTTGCACACATCACAAGACAGCAAGACTCACTGGAGAAGACAATCATGCTAGGGAAATTCAAAGGCAGAAGAAGAAAGAGAAGACCAAATATGAAATGGGTTTAATTCATAAAGGAAGCCACAGCCTCGAACCTGGAAGGGTTGAATGGAACTGCCACGGACAGGACATTCTGGGGGCTTTCATTCACCCGGTTGCCATCGTTTGGAGAGCACTCGACAGCGCCTAACAAGAAACGCAACCCCGGACCTGGGGCATCACCTTCTTTGGGATTCCAACGAACCTTGGGCCCATTGCAGAGGCATATGGGGGTGCAAGTGCAAAGCCAATAAAGGAAATTAAAGGCTCACAGAACTCATGGGGAAGAGTGCTTTTGCCTCTGAAGCCGTGGCAGGCAGAACATTTCCCCTGCACGGTGGCCTAATAGGGAAAAGGCACATGATGCCAGGAAGGAGGACCAAGGTGCCCCTAAAAGGCGGCCTCTTGGCCAACCCTGCTAAATGGGTCGGGCTGGCTCAGAGCTGCCCCAGGAGCTGCCAGGCTGAGGGGGGATCAGTCAAGGCCCACCCAGAAACTAAATGGCCGGGCTCTGCACACGGGCCTTGCTGGACAAGCGTGTGGGGCGGAGCGCTCTGACGGAGAGCGGGGGTCCTGGTCACCGGTTCCAGCCTGTCTCTTATTTGAGAGCAGGAGGTTCTTGAGGGGCAGCTGGGCAGCAGGCTCTAAGCCCCCCCCCATCCCCCGTTGCCACACGTTTCTCCGCAGAGAGTGAGTGCAGCACTCACTTGGGGTTGAGGCAATGGAGGGAACTCCCCTCTCCACGTATCCCTTCCCCAGCACAAAGGTCCTCGGCAGAGGTCCTTCCCCCTGAGCCACCCCCAGCGAAGTGAACGGGAAACAGGCCAAGACAGAGAGCATGCTTACAATTAGGCACTCCACAAGCGGTGTCTTCATGTGCAGCCGTATGTGTCGTGCTTTACCAGTTGCAGCGATAGCTTCAAGAAACATCAACACAGCAATCAAAAAGCTCTTCTTCAGGTTCACGTCCTAATTCAAACCAAGAGCAAAAAGTGGCTCCATGTGACCAAATGATGCTAAACCCCATTCCACGGCTTTGCCAGTATCATCCACCTCAAACCTGTTTGCTCTGGGCAACAACATTCACACTGACCAATTAGCAGGTCAAAAATGGTTTCGATCAACTAAAAAAGTCCCCCCTCCTCCCACACCCAATTAGCCAGGGAGCTTGCTAAGCCTACAGAGGCCCGGGAAACAGCAGTGTGTGTGTGTGTGTGTGTGTGTGTGCACATGTGCGTGCGTGCGTGTGCACATGTGCGTGCGTGCGTGTGCACATGTGTGCACGAACTACTGCACCAAAAGGCCCTCCACAGTTACACTGGCAGAGTGGGGGTGGGTGGGTAGCCCTGTGAAATGCCCCACCTTACCTGGCCTGGCCTGGCCATCCTTCCATTTTATGGCCTTTTACAGCAATAATAATTACATAATATTTAAATAATATTTATGGTGTTCAATATGGATAAGTGCAAGGTCTAAAACTTGGGTCATAGGAATGGGTGTCAAGTATGGGTTAGGGGACAAGTGGCTGGAGAGCAGCACTTGTGAAAGAGGCCTCGGGGTGCTGCTTGACTGCAGGCTAAACGTGAGTCAGCAGGGTGACATGGCGGTCAAGAAGGTGTACGCCACCTTTGGTCCCATAGCCAGAAGCGTGGCTTCTAGATCGAGAGAGGTACCTCTGCCACTCTATGCGACTCTGGTGCGCCCGCAACTGGAGTCTTGTGCTCAGTTTTGGGCCCCTCATTACAGGAAGGATATAGCCAGGTTGGAATCAGTGCAGCATAGGGCCACAAGGTTGGTGGCCGGTTTGCAGGGGATGCCGTATGGGGAGAGACTGAGGGAATTGGGTCTCTTCAGCCTGGAGAAGAGGAGAATTAGAGGGGCTACGTTGGCGACATACAGGTATGTGAGGGGATGTCACACGGAGATGGGTAGAGACCTGTTCTCCCCTGCAGAGGAAGGCAGGACGTGCTCCAATGGAGCAAAGCTCAGGGAGCCAAGGTCCGATTTGGATGCCAGGAAGCACTTCCTGACAGTCAGGACCCCGAGGGTGTGGAATGGGCTTCCACGAGAGGTCGTTGAGGCCCCATCGGTGAGGGTGCTCAAGGATAGGCTGGACATGCACATGGTGGGTATATCATGGAACACATAAAACTGTTGACTGAGCACCCTCAAAGTCCCACTGAGAAGAAAGGAACCAGGAATGCCTTCTTCAAAAATGTGTGTTTCTGTAAATGTCGCTGAGTACCCAGTGACTCGCGACAGCAAACATTCCTGCCGATGGCAAGAAGCCAGCAGAGGGACGTTCAGCCAAAACTGGCAAACAGGCAACGGAACACCAGGTGCCATCCAGTGGGAGTCCCTGAGCAGCTTCCTCTCCAGTGCCGTCACCCCCAGCTGCTGCCTGCTGGGCTGATGTCCCTGCTACTTCTGGCCAGCTAGTGCAAACACACAAGCTTTCCCACCGTCCTGCTTCAGTGATGAGGATGAGGACGAGGAAGGACAGCTTATACAGAATGCAGTAACCCCACCCTACCAGGGCAAAAGTGTTCACCATACCGAGGGGTTGACGGAGAAATAATCGATCATTTTGGATAGGATCAGTTCCACTCGAGGGAGAACTTCTTCTCTAATGCCCAGGGCTACTCGTCCGTAGCACAGCAGGAGGGTGTTCCACTGGCAGTACTGGAGGGGAAAGACAAAAGTGCTTTTCTCTCTAGAGCCTGCCCATAAGCCAGCAGCGGGGAAGGCCAGCAGGCAGGCTGGCAGGAGGGAATCAACAAGCCCCTGCAGAAAAGCAATTTCAAGCCGTATGACAAGCCCTCCTACAGCCACCCTAGAGGACTGCTTGGCTCAGACAGAATCCCACGGTAGCCCCTCCACAAAGGTGGGTGTGCGCTCACACACATGGGGGGGGGGGTGGCTTTTTAAAGTGCCCCTTGGAGGGGAGAGTATAATAATCAGAAGCTTTGTCACCAGCATTCCTGCAACCTGCTCTACCCTCAGTCAAGCACTTCTGATCTAAATAAAAGCTTGTCCTTAAAATCTGAAAATCACTATAGTACTAATTACACAATTGATCACATATTAAGCCATTAACAAATGAATGATTGCTCAGGCAAAATAAAAAAAATAACTATACATGGCCGTTTGAATGCACTGTCCCCTTTGCGGCTGAGTCAGGTGTGTGCCTCCAGCCTTGCAGAATGTACACTCAAAGAACAGATCCCAGTGCCCAGAATGTGGAAAACCAGTTGCCAGTCTTCTTGCAATGAATTGCAGGAGAAAAATACCTGGCTGTGGTCACCGTAATCTGCCTGAAAGCCCCCAGTCTTCCGCACAGAAGTTCCCCCGCCCCATCCCTGCCCGGCACATCTAGCACGTCTTCACACAAGGTGCACCAGCAGAAACCGTGCAAAGCTTCCATGGCACTCCCATAACCCGCATAAGGCAGCACGGTCTGCTCAAGGGCTGCACTGCACTGCTTGGCACAGAGCAGGGAAATCCTGCTATGCTGGGTAGAGCAGGCATCCCAGGAGCACGTGGAGCATCACCGGCAAAAGCCACCGGTGATTACACAGCATCCCTTCTGCACTACCCTTCTGGTGTTCATGGGAGAAGGCAGGAGATGCTTCACTTGCCAGTGGAAGGCCTAAACCGTGGCTGGCCCACTGTTAATTTTGTTGTCATTGTCTGGGCATTGCCGAAGGGGTTGGTTCCCAGGGACCTCTTCGGGGAAAGCGCCGCTGTCCAATTTTGGCTATCCCATTCAGCAGCCACCTGCACTCTCCGTATAATGTCTCCTGAGGGGAGAGAGCGGTGTGCAGGGTGGAGCATGGAGAAGTTGGCTTCCCCTAACAAAATGGCACATGCCCCAATCAACAGAAACAGATACAGCAAAGGGCCGGGTGGTGAAGACACAGGATGTTTCTGTTCAAAGCAAACTCCACATTTTCAAAACTTCAACAAAAAGCATTCTAAGGATAAGAATAAAAGTGAGAAAGGACCCCCCCCCAGGATCCGCCCCCCCCCTCCACAAGCATGAATTACATTTCCGAAATTATACCGGGCTGGTTTTTGATGTAGAACTCTCCTCAGTGGAAACTTTCTTGCTGAAGTTCTCAAGTACCTTTAAAACTTCGTCAAGGTGACGAGAGGCAGCCAGGCCAACAGCAGAAGCGATGCCCTGGGAAGAAGCAGCAGGTGGGAATGGGATGATGGCAGGGTCGTTCCTTTGCTCCGGCAATGACACTGAGTAGGTCCGCTTTGTGTAAGATACATTAGCTCATGGGGTTTCATAGAACCTTGGGCAGAGTAATGTTTCTCAGGAACGTTTCAGCAACATTTCGGACACCACAATTGTCTGCAGCACCACGTTCTTGGACAGCAAAGGGCTGTACATCAAAGATCTCCACTAAAACCATTGTCATTTTAGGACACGATTCTCAGGCAAATCTCTTAAAGCTTCAAGGCACCTTAAAGACTAAGATGTACGTTCTGCTCTAGGCATTCACAGATTAAAAAGTTTTCTTTATCAGAGGATCACCCTGGTGGGCAAAAAGGTTTGACTGCCATGTACTCAGGGAGCGGCTGACTTTGCCCATCTGACAATAGGGCATCTGTCTATGGAAGAACTTTTGACTGTCCTTCTGGTGCCTCAAGACTCTTCACCGTTTTGCTGTAAACAAAGGAAGTTCCCTTTCTGGAACTGCTTTCTAAAGGGATTTTCCGACAAATGTCTGAACTTCAGGCACCCTGCGCATTTCCCCATGCTCCCCTCTTCTCCCTCACCACTCTGCATCTCCCATCCTTCTCAGCTCCATGGACTGAAATTGGGCGCTCACTCATGGGGTTGATTGCCAAGAATGCCCCAGCGGGAGAAATGCAGCAGATTGTTCCAGGTTAGCCCTGCAGGTTTCATCCCATTTCTCCCCTGCTGGCGCCAGTTCTACCTGTTGTCTGTCAGGACACTATCTGGACTGCCCACCTCCCTGCTTTGCAATTCACACAAATGGTGTTGCAATTTTTTTTAAAAAATTGCATATTACGTGCAAGTGCCAATTTCATCATTCATTCTGGCACTTCTCCAGTGGAGTGGAGTTGGGCGGCGGGTGGACTGACAGGTTCTTTGAAAAGTGCAGAATATGACTGGGCCAGTGGTGCTCAGGATGGGACACAGTACTCCAGATGGCACCTAGCTAGTGCTGCGTAGAGGGAACCAGAATCTCATGTGATTTGGAAATTATACTTCCATGAATGCAGCTCGATCGAGCACCTGCCTTTTGTGTAGCTGCATCACATAGTTGATGTGTATTCAGCTTGTGATCTTTGGCAATTCCAATTTCTAACATGCTCTGGGCAAAAAAAGAGCAGAGAGGCCGACTCCTCACAGCCATTCAGCAGGTGTAGCTGGCCTGGTTTGAAATTCACCCAGAGCTCTTGTGCTTCCTCCCACCAGAGTGTTGGAGCAAACTGGGAAATGGTGGAATAATTTGGAGAGTTTGGGAAGTCTGTGAAACAGCACTAGTCAGACCTGCGTGCCTACTGGCAGAAAGCAGCAGTGGAAGCCAGTCTGGAAGCAAATCTCCCGGGAACGCAGTGCATGACACCTGCAATCTTATAGGCTAAAATTCTGAAAAAAGAGGAAATGCACACCCTGCTGGGAAGGAGGAGTTCTTAGTTCCAGGAGAAGTTGTTGGAAGCTCCTTCTTGTGGGCCTGCCTAAGCTGTAGACCCCACCCCACTTCACCATGCCACATCCTTCCTCAGAAAGCCTTCTTCCTGGAACAGGAGTGAGACGTGGGTCTTCCATGGGCCCCTGGCTTCTTCCCCAGAAGAAAAGCACTGGCATCCTCATTACCTTTGCTGCCAAAGGTCCCCTGTGAGACATGGCCAGTATATTGCTGAGTTGCTCTTGGACTAATTGAGAGTTGTCTGAGGTACACAGAATGGCTCCGAAGTACTGATAGAGGAAGACCTGTGGGAAAAGCAGGAAGCAGAAAAAGGCCAGCTGAGGCACAGGGGGACAGAGTGGCAACATGTTTAAACCCTTGTCAGGGTGTAAGTGAAGCTCACATGAACGAATCATAGAATAGTAGAGCTGGACGGGGCCATGAAAGCCAGCGGGACCAAGCCCTGCTGTTGCAGGACACCAAGTCACACCATTCCACGCTGACGGCTGTCCAGCTTCTTTCTGAATGTCTCTAGTGCAGGAGAGCCTATCTCCTCTCTGGGCAGCTGGCTCCACTGCCATATTGCTCAGAGAGTGAGGAACTTTTCCCTGCTATCTAGCCTGAATCTGGGTTGTTGCAGCCTGAACTGAATGAATGAATGAATGACCGGATGGTTGCACCTTGATAGAAAAAAACCTCTGCACAGAGAAACTGGGGAAGAAGGCCAGAGCCAGATCTCAGTGGGAGAGTCTTTACTTGGCATGCAGAAGGTGGTTAGGTCCAGTCCACAGTGGCATCTCTAGTAGGTGAGGCAGATAATGCTGGGAAACCTGTGAGAATGGGAGAATATAAACTTGGATCCACATGGAAGATGTAAGCACTCGAACCTCAGCACTTTTACTGGTGAGGGCACCCAGGAAAACTCACTGCAGAGGCAAAGCTACAACAGTGCCGCACAGCCAGTGTGCCCACCGACTACAAGCTCCCGGGGTATATACAGAATGTTTCACAGGGTCCGGGTCATGTACAGAGTAGTGGGGATGATGATAAGGGATGAATGGACACATTTTGGGAAACAATGCGGGCTTAAACAGAGCAGTATGAGTTAACAGCAGAGGGGAAATGACATAATGCTACAGTAAATATCACAGATTGGTTATTATTGACACAGCAAATAGTAGGACAACAGGAATCGTAACAGGCCCTGGGTGTGGGTTTTGACAAGTGTGAGCAGGTGATTTCATAAGGACAGGAAAATCTCGCCAGGGCTGTTCTCAGCTGCCCAACAGCTCACTCGATACAATGCTTCAAAGATCAAGTAATGCTGAAGCTGAGAAATGTCACAAGAAGCAGGGGCTGGTATCAAGAAGCACCCCAACACATTCCAGGAGGGATTACCACGTGCAACAGCGGAGCTGGTCAGGGGAGAGCCTCAGTCACCGAAAGGAGCACCCAAATAAGGAAGCCTCCAGCACTGCCAGGAGAAGCAGCCTGACTAAATGTTCCAGTTCTTTCTGGGCAGGAGGAGTGAGGAAACTGTGGCTTTGATTTTATATCTCAAAGGCACATCTACGCAACCTTTCTCTCTAAAGATTTATTTGGCTTTCCCCAACAGTTACATGATAGCTTTGCTCTGCCTGAAGCCCCACTCCGGGCGACTGGGTGGCTTCCCATGTGCAGACTTGTGACTGCCCCCTCCTAGTTAACTGTACACGGAGGATTTGGGGGTGCAGACAATCAGCTGAGCAGCTCTGCCGCCGGACTGCCAATACCAGGCATGCTTAGGCAGAGCAAGGCCGGGGTGTTCTCTTGCTCGCTGTGAGATTCCATCGTCGGCTGTGGGAGGTGCAAGAGGGGGCAGGTGACTGCACCAGGAGCCCCTTCGGTGCCTGCTGGCAGCACCACTGGCACCAGTCCAGGACTGGGGTGGATGTCAGTCCCATTGCTAAAGCACCAGCTTATAACTCCAGCAGCTCTGGCTGAGCAGAGCAGGAGAGGCTCTCCTTTCCAGACTCTTCTTTCACTGGGGCAGCACCTATGAATTCACACAGGGAGCCAGTTCAGAATCACTCCCAGAGTGCCGCTATTCACTAGCAGAGGCTACTCTTGTAGGTAGGGGAGCAGTGACACCTCCTGGAGCCCATGGATGGGATGCACAGCCCAAGGCAATGAAGTCCCGATGCAATGAGGCTTGCACTGGCTCTTACAGTGGCTATGGCTGGAGACATTCTCCAGGCCTCTGGTTCTTCTGGGAATGTTGTTTCTATGGCTGCAAAAGTTTCAGTTAGAAAGAAGTCCCAAAGAGCTTCATGCAGTGCAGGGGGAACCCTGCCTCTTTATTCCTTGGAAAGGTGCCACTAAAACATTGACAGGGAAACATGAACCAGGGACCCCCCAAAGCTTGAGTAGGAGGAGCCACCACATTTCAGGCCTTTCTGGAGGCAGCAGGTTTTGTCTAGGAACCCTTCCTCCAGTTTCATGGGTAGTCAATGGTGTTTTAGGTCATACCCCAGAACAGCCTCTCATGAAAATGAGGCGTCTGGAGATTTGTTTCCTCTTATTTTCTATTCAATTTACATGAACAAACAAAACACCATTTACTGCTGATAAAACTGACTGTAAGGGAAGATCTAAGGACTCTTGAGATGCTCAGAGGTAGCATCATTACTTCTCCTTCTGTTGTTACAGCTGCTGTAATTCTGGGCTGAAAGCTGATGCTAAGACAGAATCCAGAGCTAAAACATGGTGAGCACTGGAGGTACCCACAAGCTGGTCAAATTCTAGGCTCAATCATGGCATTATCTAGTGGGGAAGTGCTGTGCGGCACCTGGAAGAAGTTCACAAGTGTTTGTGGACCCGTGGTGGCACAACTGACTGCAAATTGGAGTCCGGAAAGCTGAAAATCAGGGAATCCAGCCCCAAGCAGATCCATCACACAACGGCAGTGACACTTGGAAATGGCCAGGAACTGCAGTAGTGGCAGACATCGGAATCTCCATGAAACACCTTCTGCAAATGCAGTCAAAGGAGGAGAGAGCAGCCTGGACTGCAGCCTCCCTCCAAACCGTGTTGACGCTACTGGAGCCACAGAGCCACGTCTCTGGCCAACAGTGTGGTCGGTAGGAAGTGAGCCCTCCGACTGGTGCTCAGGCAGCAAGCAGCATGTTCTAGATGGCTACCAACCTTCTCAGGGCTTTGGCTGCTGCGCATTGCGTCCACTTTCATTAGCTCTTGATAGAGCTCCTCAAAGCAAGCCTTGTCTGTGACATCAATCAAGAGCCGTTCTGCAAACTGTCAGAAATAAATGGAAAACTTGGATGAACTGCCTGCTGGGTACGGTGAGCTTGGCAATCTGTCTGCGGTGGCATCCCACCAGAAACAGATGCCCAAGGCATGGACTGTGTCCGTGAACTGGGCTCGGTGGGAACGCCACTGCAGATACAGCCAAAATGCTGTTCCTGCGTGTCTTTCTTATAGAAGATTTCCACTCTCTGGTTCCAGTGGTGGCTTCAGCCATTCTCTGGCAGCACCAGCAGAAATCCTAAGAAAAGAAAACTGGCTTTAAAGTAGCTGCTATAGCCATTGTCCTGGGAGCAACCTTGAGCAAGCCTTCTCTGCTCCAAAGGAAGAGGGTGGTGTCATGACACTTCCTCGGGCAAAATCCTCCACACTGTGTTAGAGCAGGCCTTTCCACCCCCCACCCCCCAACATTGGTTAGCTGTGATGCCTCATGGGGAAGGTGCACGGGTGGCCATTTCTTAATAGGCAATGACTAAGGAGGATGTGTATTGAGTGAGGGTGGCCTTCCTTTTTTCCATCTCTCTCCCTGATCTCTTCAAAGATGATTACTTTTTGCTCAAAAAGTTAGGTTCCTTCCTGCATCTACCCCTGAGAACACAGCAAAGCACTCTTTTTGTCCATGGGGAACTTCACGTAGAGGAATGCCATCCTGTGCGAGAGAGGAATGCAGTCGAATGCCTCCCCATGCCTGCCGGCTTAAACGGAGCTCGGCTGAGGGGGGCTCTCAGCCTGCCCTTCCCCACCCTGCACTGGCCACCCCTCGGCTGGGTGAGGGTGAGGCAGACACCTCCCTCAGGCCCCTCTTATTCTTGCCCACCTCCACAGCACCTTTGGCTTTGCCTGTAGGAAGCTGCTGGTGTTTGCGTGAGCAGGGAGGATTCCCTGAGTCACACAGCATTAAGCTTTGAGGTGCACGGCAGGCCAACAGAAGTCACTTCTGGAAGCGGTGACAACAGCAGGACGCTGCCATGCGCCCCCTGCCTGTGCCCCTTAATCACCCAGAGCTGCTCTTCTGAGCTGGGAAAAGGCTGGGCATGATTCAGGGGGGCCCTAGCCAAGGAAGGAGGGCCCTCACCTTACCTCCACCAGCTTGCGCTCCCACACATCAGCCTTGAAGGTATCGCTCTCAGTGAAGGCTGGGGAAGGAAGAAAGGAAAACATTCAGGGGCTAAGGTTTACCATGGCTATCATTAGGTTGGTAGATTAGATACCCTTTGATCATATGCTCTTTGGAGTATAGACTTGTCCTTTTGGCTTACGCTAAACATTGGTGGTGCTCTACAAATGTATAATTTGAGGATTTACAAAGTCCTAGCTCCAACATACACAGTCAACCCCTGGATACATGCTTCTCATGCAAAGAAAGGGTAGGTATGATCTCCTGTGATGCTTTTTCTTGTTTGGTGGATGCAGATGCAGTGTTTCTACAGGAGAGGCAAATGCAAGGGCGAATAACGTGAGAGAGCACAGAGGAGGAAGAGAGACAGAAGCTCTGTCTTCCAGAAATAGGCCATGAGCAAAATTCCTGTTGAAGTCGGCATAATAATTATCCTTGCTTCTAAAGCCCATGGACACTTGGGTAGAGGGTGTGCTGAGCCACTTGGCTGCTCAGGCACTTCACACTTAGCTTCTTTGGAGCACTCTTGCCAGAAACAGGCGTGTCCTTTTGGATCAGGACTAACCTGTTTTGATGACAAGAGAACTGATTGTGAGGGCCTCTATTATCATTATCATTTTATCATTATCGTTATTTGCTGCCTCATAGCCCATAGGGCTCGCTGGATGGCTTGCAATAAAACAGAGATAATGCATATTCAATTACAAGATACAATACTATGATCAAAGCAAAAATACAAAAAAATTAATTGCAAAAGCAATGCAGAACTCAAAACAGGAATGCTCAATGCAATACTATAATGCATAATATAAAGCAGCAGAGAAATACAACTCTGCCCTGCTGCGTATGCTTGAAGCAGCACAGCTGGCTTCAAAGGCACAGCCAGGGCAGCCCCCCCTTGACGTTGCCTCTGCCTGAGGCTCCAAGAGTGGTAGTGACCGCTTGCCTCCCCCCCCCCCCGCCACCCCCAGTGGCAGCATTCTCTCTACTGGGGCCAAGGGGCCGACTATGACTAGTGATGGGAGCGGCAGAAACCACGCAGCTCTGCAGGGGGCACAGGTGTCGACCCAAATGAATGGGTAGCACGCAGGCAGTGCCCTTTGACCTCCACTCTTTGGCCGCTGGCCAAGGCCACTGCCCTTAGCAACATCTGCAAGAAAAGGGCCTAGAGAGATGTGTGAGTTTACCTTTGTTTGCCAGTTTCCCCAAAACACAGAGGATGCTGCGGTATGGAAGCAGCCGGCCTTGGAAGCCCTCCAAGAGTTTGGTCAACACTTCTGCCGGATAGTGATTCCACAGGGCCACCAGGATCTCCCCAGCCACATCCTGGTACCGATCGTGCAGATCCTACAGCAACAGAGCACAGAAACATCTTGTGGGAGGAAACCCACAGTAAGACTGCAAGAGCTTGCAGCTCCTGCACGTACCTCTGATTCGCTTTTGCCAGGAATGGCTCCTGATGGACATGGTCACCACAGCAGCCACAGTGACAGTTCTCTGAGTACCTGAACTGCTAGGACAGCTGGGTCACCCTGCTCTGTTACTCATTAGAGACATTTTAAGGCTACCAAATAATAGAAATGTCTTTATTTAATTCATTTGTTTGTTTACAGTGCTTGTGTGTCTCTCCATATCTAGACAGATTCTGGAGCAGTGAATAGTAAAAAACTAAAAAAGATAAAAGAATTAGAGCAATACACTAACAAGGAAGCATTGAAACTATACCTTACAATAAAGTATTGCTCCATTGTATATACATATAAGACTATTAAACTGGGCTATATAAGATAGCATATAACCAGCAGCATGGGCTAAAGTCAATACACCACACCCACCCAAAATTTTAAAATTTGAATAAATACCTGTTGTTACTAAAAGATAAGGTAAGAAGCTTGAAAGGCTTTTTGGGAGCACAAAATGTGCTAACGGTGCCAGGCAGCGTTAGGATTAGGGTGACTGGAGTGCCAGCAGCGAGGAGGGAGAGCCACCACCGCTGCATTAGCGACCGGCTCCCTCGCCTGGCCCTGGGGCAAGCACAGCCCTATCGCCAGCGGAGGAGTCAGCTTTGCTTTGGAAGGGTTAGCCCACTCTGGGTTTCACACGCTTTCAGGGGATCCTGGAAAGGCACAATCTTTGGCTTTGGCAGTCCCCGGAGAGAGGCTGGCACTGCGATGGCCAGACCTTTTTCTCTGCATCTTTCTTCAGTGAGTTGGGAACATGCAGGACGCCTAGGCTAGTAGAAGGAGGTCTGGAGGGCATTCCTTTCTTCGGATGATAGGAGCATCTCCACCCACCTCAGGGAGTCCCCCTTCCTCCATACTGGGCCAGTTTCTATGCCTACCAGGTTTAGGGTTCTTGGAGGATCTTGCAAAAATAGGTGGACTACCTGAAAGCATGGAGAGCGATGCAGAGGGTGGGGACATCTCAAAGGTGAACAAGTGGGTCTGCACTGAGGGCCTGCAGAATGTTTACATTCATGGTTGCAGCTGACCATCAATCTATGGCCCCTTTTTAAGGAAGACAGAGAGGCAAACCAACATATTTCTCTGTCTCTTTCAGGGTTCACTCTTACCCCAAGCCTCATAGATGCCATGGTACTTGACTAGGATGTATTGGGAGGAGAAAAATAAAGTTGGGGAACCAAGGGAAAGTCGGGCAAGTAGGGGTGGAAAAGAAGAATGCAGGGTCAAGACGCCATGGGTGCTGCCTGTGGGGAGCACAGATAGTCCATCCCACTAGGGAGGCTCCTCTGGGGAAAAGCATGAAGGTGGCCCGTTTACATGTCCCTGAAAGAGACTCCATCCCACAGTCAAGGAAAGCCTTCCACATGCCCCTAGAAAAGAACTTCTTCGCCTAGCCAGAACCTGTAGAAAGTGCTGCCACAAGATGCTGCAGTGGCTTGCCAGCTTGGGTTATGGAGGGGAGACTGCTGTCCATGGCTTGCAGTCAGGGCGGCTGTGTCAGGCGCAGAAGGCTGGATGCCTCTCATTCCCAGCTGCTGGTGGAGGAAAGCTTGGGGGCACTCCTGTGTTCATGCCCTGCTTGTGGGGCTCCCACCGAGGGACTGGGTTGGCCATTGTGTGAACAGGATGATGGGCTAGAAAGGCCTTTGGTTTGCTCTTGTTTTCATGCTACAAGGTAGAAAAGGGTGATCTTTGCCACCATCACAACTGCACAACTGCTCCACAAGTCGCACACTGCGTAAGTTCTCTACGGACTTATTTATTTATGTATTCATGTCATTGGACTTCGTAATCCGAGGGTTCTCTGGGAAGCTTACAAATGGTAGAACAGCATACAATACAGTAATAAAGCAGTTAATTAAGCAGTTAAAATAGATAAAACAGTAAAATTATAGATAAGCCATCTAATGATAAAATATAATATAATATTTATCACCACATAAATACAGCCAATAGATTAACAAACAAAAATTAAATTAAAAGTAACGTATAACAAACTGTTTAAAAGGCAGCTTTACCAAAATGCTGCTCTGCCCAGAGCAGCACTGCAGTTGCCTCTCCTCCTGCATTCTGGCCCTGAAGTGCATGCCAGGCGGTGGCCTGGGCTCGGCTCGGCAGGAGGAGGCAAGTGGGTGCGTCTGTGTCGACGCAAGACACCGGGTGCCATATATTCAGGATACGTTTGGTCACTGTGGTCCTTACTGTGGTCCTCAGCATATCTTCAGCGGCCAGTTTGATTATGACGTTAGCTAATTTGTATTCAATGCCACTGGCTGATTTGATCACAGCTTGCAAGATCTGATTAATACGCAATCGATGTTTTGGGGAGATCTGTAGAAAAGAAGGAATTCAAAAGGAAATCAACATTGTTGTGTGAAGTACTAGACGCTCGGGAGGACTAGAGGTAGGAGCAGGAAACACGGGTTTCAGCCAAACCTCAAACCCAGCAGGTATTGGATCCATTTAAAGTCATGCTGCAAAAAAGACAGTCAGCCTCAGGCTTTCATTGTTTCTTTGTTCCTTTATTAAATCCCATCCCATTAGCCACAAGGCTCCCTGGGCAGGTTACAAATAAAAATTATGAATTAATTATGACATATCTGTACTACACAACAGAAACAAAGAAACAAAGCGAATCAGAAGGGACCTCCTAGGCCATCTAGTCTGACCCCTGGCTCTAGCCAGCTCTGCTCATGTAATCCCTAGCATGTGGTTGTCCAGTCTTTCCTTGAACACACTCATTGATGGGGCCTCAGGAAGCTCTTCCTGACATCCACCCTGAAGCCTGGTTCCTTGAGCTTTGCCCCACTGGAATGTGCCCTGCCCTCCATTGCAGGGGAGGACACCCTTTCACCCCTTCACATACCTAGAAGTCCCTAAGAGATCCCCTCAGAGTCTCCTTGTCTCTGGGCTGAAAAAACCCAGTTCCCTAAATCTCTCTGTATGTCATCCCACCCAACCCAGTTGCCTTAGCATACTGTCTTAAAAGAGAATTGGAAAGGAGATCTATAATAGGGAGTGAAAAAAAGGCAATGCAATTATGTACATGGAAAAGGAAATTAATGACCACCAGTTTTTAAAAAAACTATATTAAAAACATCAACTTCAGAAGATGGAATGGAGCAATATAGATAAGAAACATGTCTTGAAAAATTTACATCTGACCAGAGGAAAATATTGGATGATGCCATCACCATTCAAGAATTATCACAAGCTTTCAGAAAATTTAAAAAGATAGAGCACCCCTAACGGATGGATCCACTGCTAAACCACAAATGTTTAGAGGAAAAGTTAATATTATCACTCCAAAGAGTAATGAATGAGATTAAATACGAGAAACTATTACCACCAATAGGGCAGGAAGCTCATATAAGATATACAAAGAAGGCATTAATCTCACCTTGACACATTCTTACTGATCTCTCTCATTATTAAATGTGGAATACAAACTGTTTAGTTCAATAATGTCAGAAAGACTAACAAAATATATAGATGGGCAGATTCATATAGATCAGTCTGGATTTGTCCCAAAAGGACTTGTGAAAGATAATGTTCATTTTGTGATTGCTGCAACTGAATTGGTTGAGAAGAGGAAGAAAAGAAGTGGCATTTATTTTTCTAGATGTGGAAAAGGCTTTTGACAACTTTGGCCCTTTTGACTGAAAACTCTTCAATATTTTGACTATGGTTCAAGTTTTATGAATTGAGTTCCAGTAATTTATATTAAATAACATTGTAAGATTTTAAGTAATAGAATGCTAACATAGCATTCAAATGGAAAGGATGTCCTTTATTGCCTCTTTTATTTATTCTTGTATTGGAAATTTTAGCAAGAAAAGTAAGACAGGACCCAACATTTAAAGGCTTAAAAGTAGATGAAGAATACTATGCTGATGGTGTAGCCTTAACCATTTTAAATCCACAACAATCGAAACAGTGTATAATAGATCAAATTGAAAAAATTGGATTTTATTCAGGCTATAAGATCAAGAAGAAGAAGTTGTAAACTATATTAAAGTTTGCAACGAAACAGGAGAGGAAAGTATAAAAAAGACCTTCTGATGTTAAATAACTTCAAATCTGGACAAATGTTTAGGGATAAACACAATGGGACCTAATGACACATCATTTCAAGATATCCTCTCCAAGATTGGCAAATGCTTTTAAATACTTTTATTATAAATGCTTTTATTTGGAATGATAAAAAAATCAAGGAGTAGATTTTAAATTCTTCAAGATGAAAAAGAGAGAGGATGCCTTGCAGGACCTAATTTAAAATTATAGTATTACGCAGCCAGCTTGGTTTGGATTTCAGACTGAATTGTTAACTAGTGAACAATTGGCTAGTGAAGGCTAGAAATAGGCTATTTCTAGGCTAGTGAAACTAGGAACACATGCAGAGGGGTGGCTCTAGAAGGGATGCTGCAGTGCCCCGTCACCTGTTCACAAAGGGAAGGATCCACTGAGAGACAGCAGGAGAGCACGAAAGGGGACCTACCTTGTGGATGCTCTGGCGGTACTTGCAGATGGCCCGCAGGACCCCAGCTACCTTGGTCTCAGCCAAGGCACAAAGGTTGTCAGTGGCCTCCTGCACCAGGGAGGGGCCATTTCCTTCTCTAAGATTTCTCAGATTGCAAAAACAGATCTGTGATTCTGATAAAGAAAAAGAACAGAGCTTATACCAGCAAATGGTATATATCCATGAAGTAGTGATAACCCTAGCATCCTCCCATAGGAATTTGTTCAATCCCCTTTTCAGTTTGTGGCCATCACAGCATCTCGTGGGAGTAAATTCCATAGTTCGATAATGTGCTATGTTATGAATTCATTTTGTTGTTCTGAGTCTCCTACCATTCAGCTTTATTGGATAACATGGTTGGATTCTGCTATTATGGAAGAGGGAGAAAAATTTATGCTCTTTTTCTACACTTTGCATACTTGAATATGCTTTGTTCATGTTCTCCCTAACTAACCCTTTTCTGAACTAAATATTTCCAAATAATGTCATTTTTCCTAATACAGGATTACTCAAGCCCTGAAAAATTTTGGTGACTTTTTTGTACTTTCTCCAGCTCTACAACATACTTCTTTAGATGCAGTGACTAGAAATGTAAAGTATTCCAAGTGTGTTCTGACCACATCATGGTGCGAAAGGCATGGTAATATGGGCGGTTTCATTATCAACCCCTGTCCTAATAATTCCTATAATGGAATTAACCCTTTCACAGCTGCTGTACACATTTTGAATCCTCCATCCACCACTCCCTCACCAGAGGACAGATAACTGGGCCTGCGATGATGTTTCCTGGAAGGGAGTCCGCAGAACTCAAGCGGACAGTGGTGACAAAAGATGAAATTTCTAAACTTATTAACAAACTGAAAGTTGATTAATTTTGTGGAATGCAATGGACAGCCATCTGCTAGGGATGGTTTGATTTGGAGTCCTGCATCACATGGGACCTTTGCGCAATTGCCTCATTGGCCCCTTCCAACACTATTATACTGAGAGGTGAAGTCCTCTTATGACTTATCAGTAATGAATTAAAGACCAGAAAGTGGGAACAATGCTAATTTCCCTCAATGGAGGGATGTAAACAGTGGGATCCCACAGCAACTTGTATTGTGACTAAAGTTGTGGGGAAAATCCATTTGGGGGTGAAAATCTGTTAAATTGCTTGGGCTGGTGCAGCTGATGTAGAAGGTTGCTGGTTGTGGAACTGGGAGGCCACAGTTTGGTGTCATCAACAAACTTGGCCATTTCATTGATCATTCTTCATTCCAGGTCATTTATGAACAAGTTGAAAATCATCAGTCACAATTAGGTTTGAAACAAACCATATTAGAAACAGCACCTCCAAGGATTCATGGACTTTTTCTTGTGCTTGCCCTGGTCTTCCTAACCAAGGCAAGCTGAGGGGAAGTCTTGAAATACTTGTGAACCCCCAAGTGCACACAATACACAGTTGAACTGTGGAATTCACCTCCATGAGATGTAGGCATGCCAACCAATTTGGATAAACCTTAAAAGAAGATTGGAAAATTTTGTGGAGAAAATCCATGCCTACTATTTATTCATTCATTCATTCATTTCATTTTTAAACCTCTCAATAGCGAAGGCTCTCTGGGCAGTTAAAAAGAAAGGGTTAACAAAAATTAACTTAAAACTACACAACCACAATAGCAATTGGAAATGATTTAGCATAGAAGCACAGGTGTGGTACAGAATAAAATGCAATTAAAAATAAAGTTTAAAAGCTAAACTGTTAAAATACTAGTGCTGATGGCTATGTGCTACCTCTGGTATCTGAGGAAGGATGTCTAAGTATATCAGTTACTGGGGAACTTAGGCAGGAGGGAGCTATTGCAGCCACATCCTGCCTGTGACATCATGTAGGGAGCTGGTTGGCCACTATGTGAACAGAAGCCTGTGTTGGATGGACCATTCAGTGCAGGTATTCTTAGGTTCTTTGCCCAGGAAAAGTTCTGTAATATTGATAAGCTGTTGCACTGGGCTTTCATGCTGAACTCTCTTGCTCTGTCTGTTCCCACACACAACCTGTCTGATTGGGTAGTACAGAGAGGTTCCAATTTCACAGTCAAAGAGAGCTTTCATATCATGTCTTTGATGATCTCCATGGCACAAAACACTTTTCACCAGGTGTGACCTTCTGGGCAGGGACAGGCCAGCCATAGTCATCCAGGCTCTAGTAGCATCCTCTTTTGGATTTGTGCAATAAATTGTACATGGGGCTGCCTTGGAAGACTGTTCAGAAATGGCAGTTGGTTACAGATACTGCAACTACATAGGTTGGCAACTCGGCTGGGGAATATGAAGCGCAACTCCCCAGCATTGCAGCAGCCGCACTTTCCTTATGCCGTTGAGCTCTGATTATTTTAAGTCTGCTTTCATAGATTATGCTCTTTGCTGTGTTTTAATATCTGTATTGCTTATTGTGATTATGTTATTTTAACTGCTGCTGTGAGCCACTCTGAGAAAATATTCTGGTGCACACTTCTTCCTTTGGCCTCCGTCCCCACAACCCCATGAAGCTTAAGCACCGAATGATGCAAGCTGCCCTTGTTAGTCCTCCTAACAGCTTCACCATTTTCATCCAGCTCCTCCTTCTCTGGTTCTGCTTTTTCTTTCTGCCGGGAACAGTCAGTGGTTCCACTGTGTTCCTCTTCATGACTGCCGACTCTGTTCTTCCTGTGGCTGACTCTCTTGAAGACTGAGCAGATCCTGAGACAAAAGCAAAAAGTGAAATCAGACTTTCTTGGAAAGGAGACACATTTCCTTATTTTATACTGTATTTTTGTATTTTTAATTTAATGTTTATATTTTTGATTTATATTATAATTATTTTAACTTATTGTTGTAAGCCGCCCCGAGGCTTCGGCGAATGCGTTGGCATAAAAATGTTTTAATAAATAAATAAATAAATTTCCAAAAGATCAATTAGCGGTTTCCCAATTCTCTTACATAGTAATCTAACAGTAAAGGTCATCACAGATTTCCAGAAGAAAAACCAAAATAGGCAGGTAGAAGTATTCTTGGGGACTGCAGGGCAGGGAGAAGAACTCACTAAGGTATTATTAGCAATTTATGTGGACCTTCTTGTTCTGTTGAGGAATATTTAATAGTATGCTACACGTGACTTTTGCACAAGTTGTAGGCTATTGAGGGCTGATCAGCATAGGCCTCTCCACTTCCGAGGGCACTCCACCACAGAAAATGTTGTTTTGTGATTCATCTCCTTGTCACAAACCAAGCATTTCCTTCATCTCAGTGTTGACCAATTAAGTGCAAACTTTCACCTGTCCATTCAGGCCAAGACTTTATTCATAGGACGGGTCCCATAAAGACAGATCACTCAGGTGTTACAGAAGGAAAAAAACCTTAGTGATATTATAATACTGGAAGACTTACAACTCAAACTTTTCTAGACTTCAATATTTAGCTGTTGGCTATCCAATTCATATTAAGTAGAGGTGACTCATCTCTTTTTGCAGGTGCAGCACTGTGCCCCTGAGTCCGATTGACATGGATGGGCTCTGAAGGCACCTCGTTGGACAGGTGGGGCATCAGCATGGCTGAGCCCCAGCCAGGGAAAAACAAACAGGAACAGCAGCGATCAGCTCAGAAAGGGGAGGGTTCCCGACCTGAAGCCTCCAAACATTTCCTATGCGGCCCTCCAACCTGCTGGTTTACTGCCATCACCCCCGAGGCATTTTCCCCCAGACCCACGCTGTTCTTCCTGCTGAAGCAGCACCATCAACCGTTCTTTTTCCTGTCCTTTCTTACAAGGAAACACGGTAACAACATTGTTCCTTCTGGTCTCGGTGAGCCCCGCTCGTGGTTTTATCCTCCATACTAGCATTTCGGCCTTTCTGGGTGCTTTTCTAGCCAGGGGAGCTCAGGTGCCCTCAGCACCCAGCCTTTCCATGCCCCCCTCTCCATGCGCCGCCACGGCAAAGGCCATGCACGTGTGCAAGCAAGATACGTACAGCAGCTGCGTGGGTGCCTGGCAGGGGTCTGGGAAAAGGTGGGGAAAGGAGAGTAAACGGGTTGGCATTTTTGCGAAGAGGATCCAAAGTGTTTTGAATACTGAACATGTTTTGGAAGGTCCCCAATTTTTAAAGTCTTAGCATGTGTAGGTTAAAACCTTGAGGCAGTGTGTTTATTAAGAAATAAATCTCGTAGTATTCAGTGTACTTAGGATTGGAACTGTGCGATCTGGTAGGACAGATTCCTGTTTTTAAACTATTAAAATTTAAAAACCTGTTTTTAAAAAATTCTTCCTAGCCTGTGCAATATTTCAGAAAAGTGTGTGGCGGGAGGGGGTCTCTTATTTGTCATGGTCAAAATGGAAATCCTCAGCTAACAGCTGCCAATATGGGGTGGGAAAAGGAAGAGTTAGACTTGTAAAAATAAGCTTCTCATATTTTTATTTATTTAAGAATACTATTGAAACTTTGCAACTACGGCTCTGCTAAAAAAATTGTGTAAGAGGATGTCTGCAAAGGAAAGTGCTGTTTCAAAGAATCAAAAAATTGCAGATGAGCACCATGTCTGCAGTGACAAATGGACTACTGGGGGCTTCTTTGTTTTAAACAAGGATAAAGCCACTTGCCCGATAGGTCCTGAAAGGGTCTCAGTATTAGAGGGGTACATTGTTAGAAGAGCTACACAATATATCAAGGAGAGATGTGAGTGAACAAGATAATTCTTTAAAAATCAATAGGTTAGCAGCAAAATAGTTTTAGAAAGCAGATTGAGGAGAACCTGTCGACTGTGAGGGCTGGCCAGCTATCATGGTGCTAAACGTGTCACTGAGACTCTCATGCAGTCCCATGTCCCAGAAGGCTGGGGATCACTGCCCCACCCAAACTGCCGAGCGCTCAAGGGGGCTCCATGCGTGTGTGGTGGCATTTGCTGGATACATCTGCCAAACAGACACTCAAAAGACTGCTGTACCGGCGAAGTCTGAGGCCGACACACAGGAGTTAAAATCACACCCAGGCTCAGTTGAGGGTTACCTCCGATTCTTGACTGAGCAGCTGTGTTTCCCTTTGTGCCAGAGCAGAGTGGGTTGCTCAAGGGGAGCGGCAGATGTAACACCATGCCATACCAAAGCCATTTGCCTCTGCATTGGCAAGGGAATGAATTCTGCCCTCCTTTTTCACAGGCCCCCTCCTGCTCCTCATACTCATGGGGCCTCCTCCTCTCTTGCCAAGCCCTGTAGTCCAAAAAATTTGCAGGCCAGGTAAGGTATAAAGCCCAAACGCCGATGTGCAGGTCACCTTCCACAGAGAGCCATATCCTCCGGTGAATTTCCTCTGATTCAGCTCAGCAGGCATTTTCCAGACCTCTGTGGGCAACTCAGTTCTCCAGCACATTACGATGGACTTTATGTCATGCGTGACATCACAATCACGGATTGCATTTATCCTAAGCAGGGTCAATACCTGCTGGAAGGCCTGCCTGGCCTGGCCTTTGTCCATGCTGAGGGCAGCATCTTGACCCTTGCAACGCCTACCAGATAGCAAACCCTGTGCAAGACATGGCTGGTCCATGGGCTTGGAATAGGCAAGATAGCCGTGAGCATGGCAGGATCGGGAGGGGAACGGTGTCCCTCCCTTGCCTCCGAACAACACTCCTCTCCCCTTGCCGCCATGCCGCATTTTCCACCACACACAGGCTCCCTTTATTTATGCTCTTTATTGATGTTCAGCTGGTGCAGCTTCCGGCAGAGAGTATGTGCAGCTTACTTTTTTCCCTCCCCTTTTTCTGTTTAGGGGGAGAACCTGATGGCTGCCTGATATCATATGAGAAACCGCAGGATCTTTCAGAGCCTGAATATGGAGGTGAGCTGTTAGGAGGAAAGTGATATGTATGCTCTCAGTGTGGGCATCCTATGGATGGTGAGAGGAGTGGCAGGGGGAAGGCCCCTCTCTGGTCTTCACACACTGCAAGAGAGAATGAGCATATCTTTAACTGAGCAGAGAAGAAAGCTGGGCTATGAAAGAGGGAATGCATGCATCAGAAAGCTGAGGGGACACTGCAATGAAGTGGTGGCACCACAATGAAGAGGTGAGGTGTCATTGGGGGAGAGGTGTGTGGAGGGAACAGGGGTTTGGAAGATAGGAAATGAGGGGGTATGAAAGGAAATTTAGATAAAGAGGTGGGAAAACTGATGGAACAAGGTATTCCAGCTCAGAGGAAGTTAAGAAAAGGAACGCCGGGCACAATAAAAAAGCAGGCATGCTTCAGTACCTGTTGGGATGAAAGGATGGGTCAAACATGGAGGAAGGGATGACAACCCCACTGACAAGCGTTGTCCACTGTGAAGGACTACCAGGCAGTGTGGGAGAACAGGGAAGTGAGGTGGGCAAGGATGGACAACAGAAAAAGGGCCTTCTGGTTTTGCTCCTAGTTATAGTGGGGCAGGGGGGCAGGGGCAGGGTTGGGGTTCAGGGTTCAGGGTGGGTTTTAGGTTTTATATTGAAATTACTTACTACAGGATAACAACTACACCCGAGTGCGAAAATCCATGTCAAAAGTGGGATTCACACACATTCTTAATACACTTTTTTTTCTAAATTAAAACTAATACCTATGTATAAATCCATCACTAAAATTCAACGTTTGGTAAGAATTTTTGCTGACATTGTATATATGCTCTTTCCTGTTTTCAAACACTATTTTTGGTATATTTATGTGCAGTTTTAAGACTAGTAATGTTCACACCTGTAATGTGGCCATAGAGGAAAATTGCCAAGAATGCGAAAACCAAGTCAAAGGAAAATCTTCTCCTACTATGCCACTTCTAATGCAAGACCTATATTAGGGTTAGGGGTGTGCACCAGGGTAGGGTTAGGGTTAGGAAAACGAGGTGTCCTGGTATGATTTTGATGGTTGGAATGTGTTTAGCATGGGCAGAAATGATGAGCAGCGTAGAAAAAGCTACTCAAGGAAGGCTTTTTGGAAATCACCCTTTTCAATGGAACTTTAGCCCTCTATTAGGGTTAGGGGTGTGCACTAGGGTAGGGTTTGGGTGGGAAAAACGAGGTGTCCTGGTATGATTTTGATGGTTGGAATGTGTTTAGCATGGGCAGAAATGACGAGCCGTGACGTCTGCTGCCCATGACATTGTCAAGGGCTGCTCTTTGTGACCTTCTTCTAGGGGATTGTCATAGGATTGTACAGTGGTCCAAAACTTACAGGTCCTTCATGCCCAGGGGTGCTACCAAATGCTTTAGTGGCTCTAGAGAAAAAACTTTTCATACCAGCAGTGAGAAGACACTGCACAAATTGTCCCTTTATTTTTAACAGATTATCTGTGGTAAGAGAAAAGTTGGAAGAAGCAGTGGGGAAACTTTGGAGGATTGTGAGTGGAAGATGGCATCTGGGCTATAAAAGAGAGTCTGACCGCTGCCCTCATAAAAGCCTTGTCTGGAAACCATAGCAATTTCAACGATAATGACTCCTGGATGAGGAGGAATATTTTGTCTCCTGGCTGTGGAAGAGTATTCTTGCCGAGGGGTCAGAGCAGAAAAAGCTGTCCTTCCCCAGAACCAGTTTCTTTTGCAGCAAAAACATGTTCTGCTCCAAGAAATTCCCAGCCCGTTATTGCTGGATATGGATAAAGGATTGGTGGGGTTAAAATGTCATAAACTAAAGAGGAATATAAAACCAGGGTAGGGATATTTCAGGCTTTACTGATCTCCATTTATAAGACAGAAGATGAGCATTGGCCCTGCTGGCTTAGGTCAAAGGAAGGCCATTCTTTTTCTGATCTTAGCCCATGTGGAAGCTCATGCAAATGCACAGGAGGGAAGGGATGCGGACCCAAGAATCGCCTTCAAACTTAAAGAATTCTGGGAGGGACTGCCTCAGTCTGAGCAGGATTTTTCCCAGAGTCTGTCCAGTCCTACTTGTCTGAAGATGGCTGCCACCCACATTCCAAGAACTGTGCTCTGCCATATTGACTACTCACCTAGGAGCAGCAAACTCACAGTCCACTTCAGAACTGAGAGTAGTTGGAGAAAGGCCTGGACATCTCCTTTTGAAGGCCATGACACAGCTAGAAGTGCACGGAGGGCAGCCAGGGTGCTGGCACGACTCCCTGTGGGAGAACACACTGTCAACAGCCCCTCTTGCTGGCCAGCCCCCACGCCTGCCCCCAGTCATGCCACAGTCACCCGCTGGCCCAGCTTCTCCTACCAGCCGCCGCTTCCCCAGCTGGGCCAGTCCCCTGAAATGACACTGCACTGTAGCCCTGGTCCGCCACCTGCAGTGGCAGCAGGGGCAGAGGGCCTCCCTTCTCTGCGTAGCCTGTGTGAATCAGTGTGATACAGGGGAAGGCTCTTCAGAAGCATGTAGCGGGACCAAGGCTGTCATGTGGGTGGCATCAGAACCTCAATACTTTCACCAGCCCTTTATCTCATGAGCCATCCTGTCTTCCCAGGGGTTTTTAAGGGTAGAGGAGAAAGAAAAAAGAAAAAGAACGAGAACAGAGAAGAGAGAAGGTAGGCACCCATGGGCATCAAGGCTAGCCCTTCCCACAGAATACTTTCAGCTCTTCTCTCCCTTGACTATACATGAAAATAATCTTGGAGTTATACAAGAGGAGGGTTTCAAGATCAGGATTCTCCCCAGGTTTGTAGCCCACTCACTTCCAGGCACATAGATGGGGAAGAAATGGAAGTAGTGACAGATTTTATTTTCCTGGGCTCCAAGATCACCATAGATGGGGACTGCAGCCAAGAAATTAAAAGACGCTTGTTCCTGGGGAGGAAAGCTATGGTAAATCTAGATAGCATAGTAAAAAGCAGAGATAACACCCTCCCAACAAAAGTGCATATAGTCATGGCTTTGGTTTTCCCAGTTGCAATGTATGGCTGTGAAAGCTGGACCATAAGGAAGGCTGAGCACCAAAGAATTGAGGCCTTTGAATTGTGGTGCCGGCGGAGACTCCTGCAAGTCCCTTGGACAGCAAGGTGATCAAACTGGTCAGTTCTAGAGGAGATCAACCCTGACTGATCTTTAGAAGGCAAGATCCTGAAGATGAAACTCAAATACTTTGGCCACCTAATGAGAAGGAAGGACTCCCTGGAGAAGAGTCTAATGCTGGGAACAATAGATGGCAAAAGAAGAAGGGGATGGCAGAGGATGAGGTGGCTAGATGGGGTCACTGAAGCAGTTGGTGTGAGCTTGAGTGGACTCCGGGGGATGGTGGAGGACAGGAAGGCCTGGAGGAATGTTGTCCATGGGGTCGCGATGGGTCGGACATGACTTTGTGACTAACAACAACCCATGAATAGCACTCACACACCGAAACCATGTCAAACCCATTCAGTGGGTCCTCATACAGCAGCCCACAGACTGGATCTGGCCCGCCATGCCCATTTATCCGGCTCACCACAGGTTTTGGACTTGCTACACGTGTGCCTGCAGCTGCCTGCCTTGCCTCACGCATGAGGAGGTGGCAGCTTGCTTACGTGGAGATCATTTTGGACTTGCTCGGAGAACACAATTTCCAAGCGAGCAAGCCACCGCCTCGCGTGCCTGCCTCACAGCGCGTGCTGCCCCCGCCTCGCCTCGCCACCAGCACCACCCTTCCGTGCCCAGCACCGGCACCTTTCAACTGGCCCCCTGCTGAAAAAGTTTGAGGACCCCTGTTCTAAAGGGTGCTACTGCACAATTTTGGTTCAAATTCACATCACCCAACAGTTCTGTAATGAAAACCCATCAACAGTGGACACATTTCCAGTCATTCCAGCCTTCACCTGCTGATCTTTCTTACTACTTGGATTTTGGGAATAGGCCGCAATGATTGTTTCCATCATGAGCTCTGGAGGCACCTCAGACTCTTTTATTATCTTGCTCAGACTTTGCTTCAGTAGGCTAACTGAAAGGGCAGGCTCGTTAGCAGTGCTCTTCCGTTCAGCTTTTGATTCCTTTCAGACTCTACCATCTGGCCAAAGGGAAGCTGAACAAGTAGAGGGGGAGGCGGTGCAGCCGAACCCTGCTCCTGTCACGCTCCTTTGAATGGCTGGGGTGGAGGGGAAACAGACGGTTTCGGAGGAAGCATAACTGTGGCAACTCAATGCTGGTTCTTTCAATGAAGCATTCAATAAATGTTCCAGTTTCATAAGAACTTAGATACGTGCCTTGAGCAGAAGCCATTCCACCCCCACAAGAACATGATTCCCAAGATTCGAACGGAGAGCAGTTACTCTCTGTGATGGCTAAAGCCAGACTCCCACTGTTGCAATATTTGATATGACCTACTGGAACGTCCTAGCTATGTTCCATTAGAAATAATGTCCCAATCTTTTCCATGGGATTGCCCTTCTGGAGCAGGTTTGTTGCATGCCGCAGATTTCCCCAGTCTTTATGTTTCTTTCCTCTTCTTTCCATTTATGGGTGCTCAAGAATAATTTTGGTTTTGGTGGTAGTGGGGGTTACTTCATCTTCTTTTTTTAAAGATCCATCTATGTTACTACTAATTTATGGCAGTAGGCCAAGTACTAGGAACTGGGACTTCCCAAGGGCCGACCAGAGTCAATTGAAGGCCAGGCTGGGGGGAGTCTCCTGGGAGAGGCTACTGGGAGGCAAGGGAATTCAGGAGGGGTGGATGGCTCTAAAAAGGTTGCTCTGGGCAGTGACCGCTGATTAGCAAAGCAGGGTGGCACAGCAGGGTGCCACGTGGATGCAAAGCAAGGTGCTAAAAGGGAATAGAAGGAAGAGGGGCCTTTGCAGGAAATGGTCACTGGGCAAGTAGTCAAGAGGGTTTAGCAAGAGGAGGCAGCACAATGCAGGAGGATCCTTCACGAGGCTGTGGCTTCTTATGAGCCAAGACTGGCAAAGAATGTCAGGAGCAATAAAAATGGCTTCTACCCTCGTGTAGATAGGAAGAGGAAGGGGATAAAGGTGCTGGGACCAGTTAAAAGGGTCCTAAGCAAGCACTACTGCATTGATGCCCATTAAATTAATATGAGAACAACACCGCACTGTCTGAAAGGGCATCCTACTTGCACACATGAAAGCCAAACTTTGCATTTGATCAACGGTGGGGGGGGGGGCCGGGAAGTGAGGAACCTCCCCCCCATCCAACCTCCCTCCCCAGCCCCGCCGCTTCGCACATGCACGTGAGAGCAGGGCTTCTCTGGTAGGGCCCGCCCGGCCTCCCGGGGCCTCTCAGCTGGAGGCGGCAGTGCTGCGCCGACTTCCATGGAGGGGCTGGAACCCCCTGCCGGAGGGGGCGACAGACGCGGGGGGAAAGTGGGCACCCCCCCCCCGTCTTCAAAGACAGGAGGGAGGAGCAGCCCTTCCCGCCCGACCGCCCCTCTTTCCTTCCCTTTCCTTCCCCCGGGCGGCTGTCAAGAGAGGCAGGAAGGGCAGCAAAAAGCCTCACGTTGCCTTCAGGCGGCCATGCTAGGCGTGACGTTAAAACCTCGACTTCTGCGGCGCGGAGAAGTGACACATCATGCTCACCATGTTGGTAGAGTCCAACGCAGAGAAGGGGGGGGGGTTTTACCCGTCAGCCATCTTGGGAGTGGCTGGTCTTTGCACAGGCTCGTATCTAGATCTATGAAAGTGAAGAGCCAGATTGTGGCATTCCCCGAAGTGCCGCAGCTGTCCCAGGCCCAGCCCGTTTCCCAGGGGGGCAAAAGGGCTCCGACGCTGATATTACAAAAAGGGGGGCGGAGACAAAGCCACGTTTTACTCCTCTCGAGTACAAAGGACACGACCAGACCTTGCCGTGAGCGCCAGTTGTACGTGCAGCCCGTGTGTGGGGAGGGCTTTGTCCAACGGGGGGAAGGTGTGAGTGTGGCTCTACGCGCAGCAACGGAGGCTTCAGCGGCGCGCCTGGAGTGCCCTCCTGTGGCCACTGCCGGGAATTGCGGCCTCCTGCGCCTGCCAGCCCCGGTACAAGCCAAGCCAAGCTGAGGTTTTCACCAGCCTTTTAACTCAAAAGTCATCCTGTCTTCCGAGGGGTTTTTTATGGTAGAGAAGAAGGAAAAGAGGGGAAAAAAAGAATGAGAACAGAGGAGGGAGAAGGCAGACCCCCTTGGGCTGACCCTGGGCCAGGCACAGAGTCTCGGCCCGTCCTACCTCACAGGGCTGTTCCTTACAAGAGAAAAAGGCTTGGTACACATTGAGTATACACGAGGCTCTGTCTGCACAAATTCTGCACCTCTCCTAATGGTGATCAATAATAAGATAGCCTTTTTAGAGGCTTCAAGGTCCAATAGCTATCGAGAAGACACGCCTTCCACTCAGTATCCTCCACTTTCTGCAACAGCTCTGCAGATGCATTTGCCCACTAAATGAAGGGTTTGTCTTGTTGGTTCCCAACCTTCCTTGAGATTTTTATTCTATTTTTCTCCCGCCATTTTAATGTCCAATTGTTTTTAAGTGTGATTTTTTTGTGAATTGATGGATACTGTGCCATTTTATTGGTTCTTGTTGTAAAGCATCCTGGAGCGCTAGTAAGAGGACAGAGTATAAAATCGATCAATCGTTTGACTAGTTACAGGACCCGTGATTGGACCACTGACTTGTGACACCAGGCCTGCGTTGTGTATTCCACAGTGTGGGCTGCAGCCCCTGCTCCCCAGGCTGCAGCGGGCAATGAAAGGGAAGGGCAGGAAGGCCCCTTCCTCCAGCTAATGCCCTTTCTTGACATGCTGCAGTTAGAACGGGTCACAGAGCTGAAATGGCAAAGTCAATCCAATAGGAGCCCGGTACGTGAGAGCAGGAAAATGAGGAGGGATTCAGGATCAGCAAAGTGCAGCACACAGCGAATCCACACTTTACATCAGGGAGATAAGTCTTAAATCACAAGATGACAGTAAACTCCTGAATCTAGTGCAAAATAAAGCAAGGGAAGTCGGGAGAGGTGGGATATTGAATTGACTTTTTATACTTACAGTTTATGAGGAAGAGGTTAAAATAAAATCATTAACTAACAAAGGGCCATCCAGCCCCAAAGATATATTACAAGTTCAATTAATAAAAGCTTATTTGATAAGGAAATTTTCAGCAACAATGAATTTTCAGCTCCATTGTGAGGGGTCACCCCCGCCCCATGTCTACCAAAGTCCACCCAAGCTCACAGTGTGAATATATACAACTCCACAGGCTCAGTAACGGTTAGTGGAGTGATTTTCAGATACATGGGCAAAGGCAGGACATCCCTAAGAATGACAGAACCTGACGCCAAGAGCACAGCACTCTAATCACATGAATCTCAGCCGCTCCAGTGAAGCTGTATTTACACCAGCTCAGACCACATCCTTATGTCCTACTTGGTCCTTTGTTTTTCTGGGTGGCTCCAAGGTTATCAAATTCATTGCTAATTTTAGGACTCATCAGAAAACCTAGCACAATGATTTAATACTAATTTCTAGAGACACTGTGGCACACATCGGATGGACCGACAGAGCAGCTCCCATTCAATTTTTAGATATGGTCCTGTTTTGTTTCAGTGATGGCTGAAGATTTCTGCCTCAGGCAAAATGACATGAGAAGCCGCAAAAAGAACCACTGAGGAAAAACCAGCTCCGAAACAGGCTTCACATCATGATGGTCTTTTGCTCACTTTCAATGAAAGAATGCCAGCATGCTGCAAAGAAAGTCCCCGCATTCATGCAGGAGGGGAGTGGGTCCTGTCATGGGCTCCGTTCAGGTGCGATTCGACCCATGGGACCCTCGTTTAGACTTCGGGTTTCTCCTTCTCAGCACAGCTAGTGCCCAGCTTACAGTCCAGCGCAGCTCCTTCCTGGCATTGGCCTCATGAATGATAGGACTGCCAGCATCTCCCTGAAAGGTCAAAACATAAGAGGAGTGGTTAGTATTGTCCAGTGCTCATCAGGACCGGTTACTCAAAATCATAGGCTGGACAGTGGTGGAGCAGGTTCACGAAAGGTGGGGAAAATGAATCATGGTGGAAGTCTACGTATGTTAAGCCTCACGTGGTTCCCCGGCCCACTGTGGAACCGTGGGAGTTGCAGGCCCTCTTTCTGTCTGCACATGCATGGGGTTGTGCCCAAGGCAATCTAGAGGATTCTGGCACTGCTGTTTCTGTATCTGGAGGGGTGACCTCCTTTTACCACCCAGGACATGGCACACGGAAGGAGTGACGGCAGCTTCAGCAGGTGCACTAGGGAACCCATCCTCACCCAAGTCACTCATAAGAGGATGCTACGTCGGAAATGTCAACCGGAAAGATTTAAAAGAGGTCGTAGAGAATATCCTGCTCACACGGGCTGCGTCTGCAGGAACAATTCTGCTGGCAAGGTCTTTGGCAGCAGCAGGTCAGACACTTACTTTGCGTGAATCGGTCTGTCTGCCGCTCTCCATCTCCAGCAGAGAACACGTCGTCGATCACGGTCTGATGCTCGTGGTTTCTCTGACGAACGCTCTGGGATATCAAGTGCGTGGTTGTTGTCTTCGGGGCCCTGGAGCAGTCAACCCCAGCTGCAAACGAGACGTGGCCTTCGTGTGAGATTCTTCTCGGGGCCCTCTGATGCGGACTGTCTACTGCATGGGGGAAAACAAAGGAAGAACGTCCGCCTCTACCCCACCAAATGACTTTGTGCCCAACATTGCGCTCCTAAATTTAACTCAGATGGATTGCCCCCATCAAACAAGAAACCATGTCAACAAGATTGGTAAAACTGCGTGCAGATTGATAACCGAAGGGAAGGATTTTCTCAGGTGGCTCCTGCCTGAGATAGGCTTCACAAGAACTACACTATCACAGGCCATCAAGCTGCCGTTTACATGAAGAGAGACATGAAAAGTGGATGTACTTACGCCTGTGTTCTCTTCCATAGCCAGAACCTTCACACTGAAAATTATCTCTCAGATATTGTCCTTGAGATGGCAAACAGATGATTTTGACGGTGTCGCTCTCTTAGGTACGCTGACCAAAGGAAGATCCAATCTATATGAAGGCTGAAAGTGTCATAAAAAGGGCATGTTAAGTAAGCTTTCCAACATGGACACTGATCAAAACAAGAGCAGCTGTTCAGAACTGGCCATTCCAACTCTTTTTTGTACTTGGGGCATAGGAATAGGTGTCATAAGTAAAGGTTAGGTGACAAGTGGCTGGAGAGCAGCAATTGTGAAAGGGACCTCGGGGTGGTGCTTGACTGCAGGCTAAAAATGAGTCAGCAGTGTGATGCGGTGGTCAAGAGGGTGAACGCCACCCTTGGTTGCATAGCCAGAAGCGTGGCTTCTAGTTCAAGAGAGATATTACTACCACTCTATACAACTCTGGTGCTCCCGCAACTGGAGTATTGTGCTCAGTTATGGGCCCCTCATTACAGAAAGGATATAGCCAGGTTAGAGTCAGCGCAGCGTAGGGCCACAAGGTTGGTGGCCGGTTTGCAGGGGATGGGGTATGAGGTGAGCCTAAGGGAACTGGGTCTCTTCAGCCTGGAGAAGAGGAGACTTAGAAGGGATCTGTTGGCAACATACAGGTATGTGAGGGGATGTCACATGGAGATGGGTAGAGCCCTGTTCTCCCTTGCAGAGCAAGTCAGGATGTGCTCCAATGGAGCAAACCTCAGGGAGCCAAGGTTCCATTTGGATGTCAGGAAGCGCTTCCTGACAGTCAGGACCCCGAGGGTGTGGAATGGGCTTCTACGAGAGGTCGTTGAGGCCCCATCGGTGCGGGTGTTTAAGGATAGACTGGACGTGCACATGGTGGGCATGTCGTGAGCGGAGCCAGCTGGTGCCGGAGGTCAGACTAGATGGCCTGGGAGGCTCCTTCTGACTCACTGTTTCTATGTTTCTAAGTTTTTCAAGATAATGACATGCATGTGCGTGTTTGCTCACCTCTATCCATTTTGTCCCTTCCTGGGGAACCTCCCAAAAATAACGGAGACCTCCACAAAAGTGCAAAGAACAAGGACTGCTCAGCTTATTCACTTTCCAATACAGAAAATATTCATCGTACTAGAAATGTGTTACGTAAAGGTTCATAATACTAAAAAAGGGATCAATGTCAAGGATTACTGGTGAGAAAAATGGTTGCCACGTACAACCTCCTCACTTCATTGGAACCACCTTGGAAGTGGGTCAAAGGCATTTCCAAGGAGGAAAGTGGATGGGGGATCTCCACCCCCTGGGGGGGGGGGGTCACCTTTCTTATATCTGAGTTCCCTTGTGTATTTCAAGAGATGGGATGGTATAACTGAGAGCCTCTACAGCCCTTCTCCACTCTAACAAGAGCAGATAATTGAATACTGCGTGTGCCAGCGGGGAAGCTGGCATTCTGGCCCTGAAACGGGGCACGCTCCCCCATAAATTCCTCTGGAAACGGGCCCGCATTGCCTCAACGGGCATCCTACCTGCGCCGATGAAAGCCGAGCCCTCTGTCTGATTCCCGGAGTGGTGCGGGGGTGGGGGGGGGGCAGGGAGGACCCGCCCCCATCCAAGGCAAGCCACAGCGCTGCTTTGCACATGCACGTGAGAACGGGGCTTCTCCGGCAAGGCCCGCCCGGCCTCCCGGAGCCTCTCAGCTGGAGGCAGCATCGCTGCCCGGACTTTCATGGAGGGGCCGGGGGCCCCTGCCTGGGGGGTGGGGGGGCGAGAGACGCGGTGGGGCAGCGGAACCCCCCGCCCCCGTAGACAGGGGGGAGGAACAGCCCTTCCCTTCCCTCGGGCGGCCATGGCAGGAGAGGCACGAAGGGCAGCAAGAAGCCTCACATCGCCTTCAGGCAGCCATGCTGGGCGTGACGTCAAAACCAAGGCGCCTGTGGCGCGGAGAAGTGACGCGCCTTCGGGCCTAGCCATGTTGGTAGTGTGCGGCCCAGGGAGGGTCTTGCCCTTCAGCCATTTTGGGAGTGGCCTGTCTCCGCGCAGGAGCATGTCTAGAGTTGCAAAAGTGAAGAGCTGGATTGCGGCATTTCCAGTTCCAGCTTTAGCCTGTTTCCCAGGAGGGGCGAAAGGGCTCCGTCGCTGATATTCCAGAAAGGGGGGGGGGGCGGCAGCAGAAGTCGAGGGAGCCGCGTTTTACTCCTCTCGAATGCAACCAGCACACACCAGCGTTTTTAATGGTAGAGGAGAAAGAAAAGAGAAGAAAAGAATGAGAGCCAGGGGGGAGAAGGCAGACACCCTTGGGCATCATGGCTAGCCCTTCCCACAAAATACTTTCAGTCCTTCTGTCTCTTGACTATAGTATTCATGAAAATATTCTTGGAGATAATCTTAACCCAAGACAGCTCACAACGATCCCAATTCTCCCCTTTCTATCCTCACAAAAGCATTGCGAGGTAGGGGAGCTGCGAGTCCCCTCTGCAAGTCTGCCACCAAAGCCTGGATAATCTAATCTGTACTTTGAGTAGACGCTGAGCAGGAAAAGGAGATCGCGGCTGAAGCCTTGGAAGTAGTCCAGGACAAAACGGCACAGGGCAGGAGTGGCACCTTTTCCTTTTCGTACATCTACAGAATGCCTCTGGAAGGACGGCCACTACTAAAATGGCGGCGTGCTTAACTATATGTAAAAAAACGCGACTAAGATGGTGCCTGTGTCGTCACTTCTCTCCCTCTCCACCCGGGATGGCCACCAGAAGGGGAGGCTCAGTCCTTTCCTGCCCTTTTTCCCCGGAAGGTCTGTTCGCTTGGAAGGGCAGAGGTGGCCTCTTGCAGGCGGAACGTTTCTCCCACACTGCCGGACCCGGCCCATTGCAATAAGGGGGTGCACAGCGGGCTTGGCAGCGTCCTGCTTGCTGCCTCCCCACCTTGCCCCCCCCCGCTCTGTCCCTCCTGCCCCAAGTTCCCCCGGCTGGGCCAGGCCCGGTGGCCTGCACAGGAATGCCCCCCCCCGTCCTGATCTGGAGGAGCAGCCCAGCAGGCGCACACCCTTCCCGCTTGACTCTGGGGCACCATCCCCGCGGATCGGGCCCTTGGCTGCCACAGTCGCCCCCGCCGGACTCGGATTCCTTGCTCGCTTGGTCACCTTGCACTGGCAGGACGAGGCTTATGAGTGCGGGGACAGGGTGAGGCGGCGAGGCTCCCCCAGCGGTGCGGGCAGCGGTTCAGCGTGCGGGGCTGGGGCTGAAGCTGTGGCGATCCGGCTTCTACTCCCTGCCTGGCTGTGCAGCTCAGCAACTGACATTGGGCCAGACAGAGACTCTCTGCGTGTCTTTCCCCACAGGGTTGTTGTGAGCATCAAATTGGGCCAAGCATTGTGCAAGCCGCCTTGAGTTCCTTACAAGAGAAAAAGGCATGGTACACATGGAGTATACATGAGCCTCTGTCTGCACAAATTCTGCACCTCTCCTAATGGTGATCAATAATAAAATAGTAGCCTTTTTAGTAGGAAGCCAAAAGATAACCAGAATAACAGGCAAGTTTGGCCTTAGAGTACAAAATGAAGCAGGGCACAGGCTGGTAGAATTTTGTCAAGAGAATACGATGGTCGTAGCAAACACTCTTTTCCAACAACCCAAGAGACGACTCTACACATGGACATCACCAGACGGTCAACATAGAAATCATATTGACTGTGCTCTGCAGCCAAAGATGGAGAAGCTCTATACAGTCAGTAAAAACTAGACCAGGAGCTGACTGTGGCTCAGATCATGAGCTTCTTGTTGCAAAATTTAGGCTTAAATTGAAGAAAGTAGGGAAAAGCACTAGGTCA